TGTTTGATCACACTGACATCATGACTGAAGTGCAGAGCCTGAGACAGAAGCTTCGTTTCCTTGGAGATTATATCCTCATCTGCCGCAGTGACATAAGCAAACAAATCCAACCTAGGTGTGTGTGTCTGTGTGTCTGTCTGTCTGTCTGTCTGTGTCTCTGTCTGTCTGTCTGTGTCTGTCTGTCTGTCTGTCTGTCTGTGTGTGTGTGTTAGATGCATGTAATTGGGACATCATCAAGTCTTTAACAGATGATTGCAACAGATAAGTAATCTGCATTTTATTTCCAGACTTCAGCAGCGGACATACTTACTGGAAAACCGTGATCTATACAGTGTATTGGACTTGCAGCAGGTATTGGTTGCTGTTTCTTGTTTCGAATTTGAACTAGGGGTGTGCGATACGTATTATCAATTAAAATATCATAATTATTGATTTAACGATTTTTGCCTAATATGAGCATGATTGCAGATCTCATATTGATTGTATAAAACAGTTCAATAAACGATAGGTAACATTTTGAGTTACATTTTAGACACAGTGTTGTCAATATTTAGTTTTTTGCTTTATATTGTCAACGAAAATTTCCAAATGAAACTACAGCAGAACTCTTTTGCTCTCCAAGCAAGTAACCCATAGCTGTGCTTTGTTACAATGAATCCACATTTTGAATGAATCAGCTTAATGAATGATTCAGTGACCAAATGAATCAGCCATTTGAATGAATCTTATGAATGATTCACTCAACTCATTTGCCGCCACCTACTGGTGGTTTTAGTTTCATATTTAGTTTAAAAAAAAAAAAAAAGTGGCACATAAAATTCATTTCTGTCACTGGTGTGAACTAACCACACTCTCAGAAGAAAAGGTACAAAAGTTGTCACTGGGGCAGTACCTTAAAGGGTGCATATTGGTACCTTATAGATACATATTAGTACGTAATGTGTACCTTTTGAAAAGGTACAAAACCAGTGACAACTTCTGTACCCTTTTTGTGAGAGTGCACTTCACAGAATATGAAGAATAGGAATATCGCACATCTCTCATTTGATCAAACCCCTAACCCTTGTTGAAGAAAAGAGTGCTCTTAAGTGATCAGACTTATGATTTTTGCACACAGATAGCAGACGAGCACTACGAATCTTACCTGCAGTCTCTGATTCAGTTTGGGTCCAAGCACGTGCTCAACTGTGACCTTTGCACCCAAAGGGGCTTTATATGTCAGATCTGCAACACCGACAACATCATCTTCCCTTTTCAGTTTGACAGCACCACCAGGTACTGCTATATAACACACATTAGACATCAAACATAAAACCCCACACATCCCCTTTCACTCTAGACCATTTGTTTCTGATTGCTGATTGAGTTATGTGATTCAGTCACATGCAGCACAGTATTATGATAAATATCAAGAGGATGATGTGTGTTTTCTGTCTCTCAGGTGTAACGTCTGCAAGACGGTGTTTCATTCCTCCTGTAAGGCGAAGTGTCCGGTCTGTCCACGTTGCGTTCGCATACAAAAGTATATGGAGAGGGACTTGGACGACTGAGTTAGCTGTTAGTTAAAAACAGGTTTCTAAGAAAACGGTCATGCACCAAGCTCGAAATCCAGGGTTAGTACTATATTATTGTAATACTCAAATCTATAAGTTATTTTCTCTGAACTGGAAGCATTTGATCACACTAAGCGTTTAATTGGACTCATCTGAAACTCGACTTTAAGTGCACTTGTTTACACATTCATATGTACATATTTACTCACATCAGCACACCCGTGTATGTTCTTTCATGAAATGTCAATAATGCCAAACAATCACTTTTCTGCAATGGTGGGAGAACTGTTATTAAAGCTATGATTTTTGCTTTTCAACTTTATGGAAACACACCTGACGCTCAATCAGTTCTCTGGGCTTCACATGTTATTCTGCAGGTTAGTGTTCAGAATCATAAGTCTTGGTTCTCTCTTAATTTTTTTGCCTAGTCATTATTGATTGTCAAGCCAAGGAAGTCGTATTTATGAAACTTAAGGCACTTAAATGCCAAGGATCTTATAACTCTTGTTTTTATAGTACTATTTTTACATCTGAATGTCACATGCCAAGTTTTATATGAAGCATTACGAGTTTGCATATTAATTGTCGTATATGCAGGAATCGTATGCATTTAATAAGAGGATGGTTATTGAAATTCAGAAATGTACCAACACTTACAACCTCCTTTAACAGGTCATTTTTGTACAATACTGTGCCTTTGTTTTCGTGTTTCATAGTAGCATCCTTCATCACTCAAATTGGTTGTGGCAAAAATGTAACTATTACAAGCCAATGTGAATTATTAATGTTTGTCACAAAATCAGTTATGTGCAAAGAAACCGAATTTGCTGACATTCATCTCTGTGGATGATACAAAGGATGAACTCTTTTTATATATTAGCTTCCAGGTTTAATGAATGTCTCTTTGGTTTGCATATGAAGGTTGACTGCTGCTTCATTAGCACTTGTCTTATATGGAAACTGAAATAGGAGAGAGAACATTTTTCTTCTTGAGTTTTTCTTTTTTTGTGTGCTTCTTTTTTAACAATGCTGTTTTTCTTGATATTTTTATGACAAGTTGAATATATCACCTGTTGAAGGAAAATCCCACATGACTTTTTGTCTTTCTTATCTCCTGTCTAGCCACTAGAGGCAGTGGCACCTAAGCAAAAGTCTTGACATGGATTGACAGGCGGATTGCTTTTTGCAGTCATGAATGCTGAAGCTTTCCTCTGATCTAGAAGCAAAAGTCCTCATTTGATTCACTTTTTAAAATATTATAATTCTTCAAAATAAATGCCTCTTACATAATAACACATGTGCATGTAGACATTTAGCAGATGCTTTTACCCAAAGCATTGATAAAAGCAACAATATTTACTGTGCAGACAACACTAAAATGTGTGTTTGCTGAATTTATTCTAAAATAGTATGTTTGTGCTAATGGAGCTTAACACAAACAGCGTTTCCTAGAATCACGGACCAGCTATAGAAGCATGGATGAATATTTTTGAGAGAACTTGTCATTCCTCTCAAACCACATCGCAGTGTGTTTGTCTCTGACTGGTTCTTCCTGTTTTCTTACCTCCTGGCACTCTTTCTGTCTGTGTTTGTTTCTGTCCGTCTTTTGAATGTACCAAACAAACTCCTTGCTATCTAAAAATATGATAGTTTGTGAGCATGTAGGAATGAACTGAGTGCAACCAGTCAGTGTAACAACTGAACACTGGATCAGAATTGAATGATATATTTTTACTTTTTGCAAGACATTAGAGGCATAATTTTATTGTATTTTTTTTAATGCACTGTTCAATTTTGATTCCATAACGTGTCTTCTTTCAGATTAGTGTAAAGAAAATATCCAAAATACACATTTAAGTGTTTACTTTATTGCTCTTTATCTAGTTGCATCTTTAGATTTTAATTACAATACATATAGGCAGTTTTCTCAAAATAGGATTTTTCCTCTGTACCAATTCAGAAATCTATGGAAGCCAGTTTCCGCAATGGAATAAAAACATATTTCACAATTCTTGTGAAATTCTTTCAACGACAACAAAAATCGTAATTACAGAAAAGTCCGAATTACTGGATATAAACTAAGAATTCAGAATTTTTTTCTTGCAATTTCAAGTTTACATTTCACAAAGACTTTTTTCCTCTGATTTCAGAGTTTACATCTCGCGCTTCTGTTTTTCTTGAGTAAAAAAAAATAAAATAAAAATATTAAGAAAAAACATTTTTTAAAGGTATTTGCAACTTTTTATCTCTCAGTTCTGACTTTTTCTCACAATTCAGGCTTTCTTGCAATTCTGAGGGGAAACAAATCTGGATTTCAAGAAATAAATTCTGAATTCTGATTTTACATCATTTTTTCTGCCAGAAAGTAAAAAGGTAATTGCAACTTTTTATCTAACTCTGACTTTTTTCTTGTAGTTTATATCTTGCACTTTTGACTTTACATCTCACAGTTCTGATCATTTTTTTCTGAATTAGTTTTTTCCACAATTGCGTGAAAAAAAAAAAAAAGTCAGAATCATGAGATAACATTTTTTATTCCATGGCAGAAACAGTCTTTGATCAAAATCTCCATTTCCGTAGCACATACATACACCAGACTTTCCAGTTTTATTCCTATCCATATTCTGAAGGTTCATATATCATTCACCTGATTTATATGACATTTTATTTGATACTTTTCCCTGGCTGCTGACAGTATTTTCTGATTTATGAAGTGATAAAAAGTTAAACCCTTTAAAATGAAACAGGAATTTTCAACCTGACTTTATCCAATGTTCCACCGATATCTCTTAGTCTATATTTCTGGCCTCCATATGAATATGTGGATGCCTTTTTCTCAATGATAACCTATTCTACCTCAACCCCACCCCATATTTCAAAATCATACAGTATTCAAAAGAGGGCATGTCATTTCCTGTTGAGCTGGACCACGTTATCAGCGCAGCACAGACAGACAACAACCAACAACAGAATAGCACCATTGACTGAGAGGTGACCCTAAAAACCTAAAAGCTTCCATAAAGTCAGAGTGTTCTCACCGACACCCTGAAGTCTGAACTCTCGAAACATGAGTCATAAAGCTGAAATAGCCTTGAATGAAGCACGCGAAGAACAGCCCTTCAGTTTATCCTCGCGCACGCCTCTGTCAGTGTTGCCATGTCAATGATTAAAAACACCAGTTCTCTTCACCGTTTCTCTTTTTTATTTTCTGCTTCCTCATTTCTCAGTTTTTCCAGCTATGGACACTTGTTCCTTCGCTTGGTGACTGACTGTAAATACACTGATGTTTTAATATGCAGTTTTATTGTGTGTGTCTTGTATCAGGACTGATGTTTGTACGCTCACACACCCCTCCTGCTCTCTTCCACTCAAACCTGTCGAGCAACACAAATCTGGGCACTTTTGTTTTCTTCTCACACTGACACAACAGCACTACAGGTCTACAGTATGGAGCTGAGACGTCTCGGATTCAACCAGAAACAAACAGAGATGCTAGTTTGTTACTGAAGTGAATTATTCCCAGTGCTCAGAGGAAAGAAGGGAGTCGAGGGATTATTCTGTTCTCTGATGGTAAGTTCATCTCACTTAGAATCTGTGCCGCACTTTGTCCAGATGTGCATGTACTATTGGTTTGTTATAAACAACTGTCAACAGTTGTTCATAAAGTTATATCGTTTTTTTGCTCTCTGTATGTTGCTGCAGTAATCAGGAACTGATCATAACACTGGCAAATGAGACTTCCAGCAACATAATGACTAAAGGAAAGGGCATTTACAATGTTTTTTGTTTGTTATATATATACTACTACAACCATGTACCATGTTTTTTGTTTGTTTTTTGCTTTGTTTTATTTTATATTGCTTTGCTGCTTTTTGTTTTTCTTTTCTTTTTGTTTTATGGTTGTTTTTTGTTTTACTTTGCTTTACTTTTTGTTTTGATTTGTTTTATGTTGATTTATGCTGCTTTGCTTTTTTTATGCTGTTTTGCTTTTAGTTTTTAAAGTTATAAAATAAAAATTATGATTTAAAAAGATTAAGATATTAGCAAAAGATTCATATCATTAAAAGTAAATGAATATGTCATTATTTTATGGCTTGTGTGTGTGAGATACATAATTTATACTGTATGTATACACTAAAAATGGTGTAGAAACCATTTTCACTGAGAAATTGCTAGAAAATTTAATTTAAAAAATCAGCATGTAGCACACTGAATTAAACATGAAATTTTAAAGTAGAAAGACTGAAATAGTGTTTTCTTGTAAAAAGTATTCAAATAATCTTTGCTTTTTTTTTTTTACAACTTCAAAAAAATCACGTTTAACAATGTAGATGTGTATATATCGACTCTGTCCTGTAAATGTTATGTACACACACATCTTTTATTTATTTACATTATATAATATATTGCGAGACGTGTAGGTTTTGTATGGAATAATTCATTGTTCGGCCGTCTGAGTACACTGTCAAACCAGTTGCTGGATGCAGTGAAGACTCCTGAATGTGATCATGAGTGGTTTGGACACATTTTTTCTTGACATTAGAGGCGTTAACTGACTGCAGTTCATTCCATGCAGGCACAGCAGATGATGGCTGTACTTAAAACACACACTCATTCATGTCTTTGTCAGCAGCTGCTGGTGTGGCAGGATTTATTAATTAAGCAGTCATCTCAGAAACATCCAATGGTCTGCTTTACATATTAAGTAATTAGTATTTTGCAACAACCTCAATTAAACCGAGATTGCAGTTTGCTCGTAGCATGATGCATGTTTTCCTGTTTTACCAGTTGATGTTTCCCCTATTTTGGTGTCGTCTCTTCTGTGTAGGTTTGGGGTTAGTGCAACGTTCCTCTGCAAAATACACTCACTTCCTGTAGCCACTATTATGCAGTAGAGCCATCTGTCGCTCTAAATTTACATGCTTTTAGCATATCTGATTGCCACTAGTGTTAAACTACTTTGAAAACTACTTTAAAAGCATAATTTAAAGTAATATACTAATTTATAGTACAACACAGTGTAGTAGTTTCTCTTTTGCTCTGCACTACAAGTCACAAACAAAATTAAACTTCCTGCTTTAAAGCCAATATCTAAAAAAAAAATTTTTTATATATATATATATATATAGTGTGTCTCTCTCCGACACACCTGTGGTTCCTCTGGTTTGTCTGCATTCCTCTGTTTCACAGATATTTTGTGTTGTGAATATGATTGTCCCACCCCACATTTGTACACCAATAAACAATATATTTTACCATATACTTCTTATAAATATAAATAAGTAGATTTCACGTTGAATACTCTGAAAGAACCCTTATTTTCTTGCTTTTTTATTCTAAATGTGCACTACCAATTAGTGACACACTGACTTAATATACAGTACATATACATATCTATGGCTAATAATAATCTCAAACTAGAATGTTACATTTTCTTGATGCTAGGATGTTGTGGGTGGTTGCTAGGGCATTGATATGTGGTTGCTAATGTATCCGGAGTTGTTACTAGGGTGTTTTGGGTAGTTGGTCACTTCGTGGCATAAGCTAAAAGAGCACCCTGAGTCTCTGTTTTGTTTTTGTATTTGTTTTCTTTTATATTCTTGTCCCTTACGCCTGTATGTAACTATTTGAATTGTTA